AAGCTTTCAGGGACATAATGTCCCCGGAAAGGCCTCATGCAGAACCATCTATGCGATCTATCATAGAGCATACGATTCAACACATCCTCTCTGTTTTTATATCATATTGGCCAGAACAATGTCTAGTAAGGCCAAAGTCAATACCTGGAGACGTCTACTGGAAACATGGGGTCGCAAAGTGCACTTTGCGCATTACTAATGTAATTCTAACCAACTGGCCCAAATCCTAGCAATTATGAAGTGCATACAACAACATTTATTGGAAACTCCAGAGTCCTAAAGTTTCTCTCCTCCATGCTCCCATACCTGCAAGGTTTTGTAAACAGCTTCTCGCTCGCTTAAGCTGTCCAGGCATTCACCATCTAAAATATATAGCCGATTTATGTGTTCGGATGTTGCCTTCACACCACCGTGGGACAATTCTTGTTATCATCACCATCTAATCACCTGTTATCACCTAAGCTAAGCATGTGGTCTGTACCACTTGCATGGGAAGGGAAATCTTTATGACATCACCGAGGAGGGCCTTATGATGTTCGTGTAAATACAAAACAAACAATGGTAAACAATGGAACGGACGCTCTCCCAGCGCGATCGTCGTCTTTGATGATAAAACGTGAAACAGGGCGACCATTATGACGTGTGAATCTCTCAAACGTGATTGAGGTACGGCATTAATTGTGGCTGCTGCTAAACCTAGATGCTTTACAACTTAATAGGCTATTTCGCATGATCATAACTCGTTTTTTGTTTCTCTCATCTAAACCGTCACTATATCCTAGCCTGCTTGACGGCTCTTAACTTATATCACAAACTCACGATTTTCAATTAACATTTCATCACACATATGTCTAAGAATAAATACAAAAACATATAATGTCAGAGCACGCCATTGTCTGCCTTAGATGCAGTCATTTCCTTTTTGGAATCGATAGACCAATGATTCGTCCATCAGTCGCTCGGGTCAATTCATTCCCAGTGACGCATCTAACCGAAACTCTACATACTTCCCATGACTGACGGCAGCGGCGCATTGTTTACGATCCCGTCCCGCCCCCAGCAGCTGGCCCGATGCGCCGACGCGCCGAACTCGTGCCAATGCTCCGGAAATGCCGCGCACTGACCAGTGACGTCATCGGCGTGGTGGTCGGCGGCGGGTCGGTGCTCCCCCATCCCATGTGTGTACGCAGGAGGGTCGGGTGCATCGGCGAGGATGGCGGCCGGACTGTGCCAGTGACCTCCGTCCAATACACCTGAAGCAACGACGCAAGGCGACGGAACGCGATTGGCTGGCGACGAGCACTAAATACTGGCCCGTGAAATGTTGAAAAGGTGACTCTTTTAGTCGCTTCTCAGCCCTGGAGGAATGATCGTGATTTTGTTAGTTTGGCTGGGGTGGGTTTGTGTTTGTTTTGCTTAGTAGTAAGTACCAGCCATCGGTGTATTCTAATTTTTATAGCTGCTGCTGCAACGGGCATCCCCTTCTTTGGTTCCCCGATTTACATATCAGTAAAAAGTTAGAGCACCGTTACAAGCTGCACAGTGGCACTCAGTACAGTTCCGTCCATGTCTACCTATTGTATACGGAAATGAAGGAGTGCCGGCTGTCGTCTCATCGGAGCGTAGATCGTGACATACGGAAATCATGTGTCTCACATCCGCCAAGAGCATATCCGTGTGCCGCCCCTGGGGACGTTTTCGGCCGCGGCATTTTTGGCAGATTTCTTTTTAGCCCGGTCCGTTGTGCCGGATTCTCTGGGCCAGTGGGAGATGCGGGGCTTCCCTTTGGTCGTGGTTCTTCTCCCGACCCGGGGTGTTTGGTGCGATACGGCGTGTTTTCTCACTGAAAAACAGTAGAGGAGGAAATCACGATCAGGGCTCCACCAAACCGGCGACCGTGATGCGGGGGTTTGCTCTAGTTTGGTGAACGACGTAGTGGTACGTGTTTCGTTGCACTGCAGTAGGTATATTCCCAGGAGCTTGTGATGATTTGTGAGCAATGGGCTCAACTTCGTGATAAACCATTTGATATTGATGCCAAAGGTGCAAGGATTGTGTGTCTGTTACATTTATTGCGTAACTGATGACATTCATTGATACAAAAGTATTCAAAGCGGTGAATGCGTAGCGACTACGTAAGGAACACTTTTGGCTGCTGCACTTCTTCAGCATCAACTTGGTAAAATCGGACCAATCAACCTCCCGAAAATATTTATCTATAGATTGAACGAATCGCATACAAACATCAACTTCAGGAAACCATTTATCCTACAAATCACATCTATTTAATGCCATATTAGCCATTCGTCCCCCTCCCCTGGCCGTCTGCAGCTTGGACAGGACTTGAACGGGTCAGGGATGACTGTTGCCAATGGCAACTCCAGGCGTGTGACAAGCCGCCAAATAAATCATGTCACTGGGTGTCACCGTTAGTAGCAGAGCGTGTCGGCTGCCCGCCAGCCCACCCTGAATGTGTCCAAATCGTACCGCCATGGCCGACACCGGGTTGACACGACGGGTACTCCACCCGTCTGTCGACTGTATGGCAACACAGATGGTCACACTGAGGAGGGAGGGTGATTCAGTATTGAATGCGCCCGCCAGACGTCGGGGCACCATGGGCATTGGGCAATAACGCCACGTGTCGGTAGGTATCATAATCAGCACGGACGGACAGGACAGGCTGCGGACGGCCACCCGAGACGGTCACCCTCATCTCCGGCGGCCCGTCTCATCAGTGTCCGCTAATGACGTCATCAGTGTCCTCTTATGACGTCGTTTGCCAGATATACAGCCAGCGCGGGTCAGCCTAACGGCGTGTCAAGTGCCGTTACCTGGTGTCGCACCGAGGTGCCTGCAACAGCCAGGGACAGCCGACAACTGGGCACGGCGGTAACCGACTCCACCTTGACTGCCAGCCGAAAAGGATTTGCACATGTCAACGTCTCAATGTGCATCGCGGTCATACAATGTATGCATGTGTCACTATCATCTTGCGTTTGTTCAAGACATGTGGTAGAGAAATAATGAATTCTACCCCAGAATAGATTCTCCTCTTTGTGAATGGCTTCGGGAAACATCAGCTCGGCTTTACACCGCGGAGAAGCACGTGTTCTTGAAACATATCAGCCTGAATTCAGAAAAATGTGCCCAGTTCGCGCAGCAATGCATTCATAACGGTTTGAAAAATCTGCTCGCCGTTGGACGGCGTGGTATCTGCCACATTGTTCGGCCTCTGCACACAATGCATTTATTCATGCACGGCCGAAAGGTCCGTGCGAACACCTATCGCGTCTGCATGGCGTCATGTAGCCAAAACGCTACCGATGTACGCGGTTGATCGCATTATGTTCGCCCTTCGGAACATGCCGAAAGTCAAAGAACAGCGCGGTCACTGTCGCGTTCCAGAGAAGGCTTAGCGATATAACAGGAATTCGGCTCTTCGCTGCAATCGGCAGTGTATTTCAATCGTGAGGCTCTAAAACTGGACATTCTAAAAGAACATCTTATAGCGCATGGAACTGTCAGATGGCAATTGTCCACTAGGGCTGTGCCTATGACTATCGTTTAGCAGTAAAATTATAGGCATTTTTTAATCGATGGCTTTTCAATTAAAGCTAAATTCTGGGCAAATCACGATTAACGTTTTATTACATTTTCAATCAGAATTTGTATCCGTGTTTGATTCGTATAACCACTCAGAAGCTAACGCGTTTTTTAAGAATTGCATAATCATCAATTTTGTTCTGAGAATCGTGCAACAAACTTTCGCTCCATTTTTGGCAATGTTCCAAATATCTGCGATTGCTTGCATTTCAAACGGTCAAAGGTATTATCACTTTTCATCGAAAGGTAGCTCGCTCAGTTTCTTACAGCTTGACTCACTCGCAAACACCTCACCCGATCAACTCACAATTCATTTCGGATTATCTTCTCCAAAGCTTTGGAGCATACCAGCGTTGCATGTGAGCCATCCACCACATCGAAGGGCGCCGCGTATGGGACGAGGCGGTCCACTTCCGCTGGAGTGACCAGCTTTCCGCCGCAGCTCGGGTGTGGCCGGGCATTGCAGAGAGGTGTCACCAAGTGTGTCATCGTGACACTGTGACAGTGTAATGTCGCCTATAGACAGAGACCATGGGTACAGCATACTATCGCATTGCCGAGCACATAAGCAAGAGCAGTGTTCACTTATCTTTTCGCGTAGTCCTCGCTGAGTCCTCGCGAGGTCCTCGCGTAGTCCTCACTACGGGACACAAGTCCCGTAGTGACCTGTCACCGCGTGCGTCACACCATCCGTCATGGGCTTGATAACCATAACTGAGATACGAACTAGAGACTTACGTAAAATCAATTGCGTGGTCCCGCGGTAACTGCTTTATATAAGCATGCGACAAACTTCAATTGTGCCGTGACTTGTTCATCGGTGCCTTGTTTACTCGACGCGAGTAATAGACTGTTTTGTGAAATACTGAGACTAAATCTACTATTTACATTAAATATCAATGATCATTACTATGTGCTGTATTTGAAATTACAAAAACAAACGACATTCAGCCTCTAAGAAATGTTCATGGTGGGGCTGTAGAGTGTAGGCTGACGATGGAATGGCTACTACCGTTGAAAAATGTGTATTATGTTATTTGTATTCTGTTTCGAAACCGTTCACTCATAATTCATTATTCAAACCTTGGTTCCTTGACGCCTTTAAATGTAAGGTTGTCCTTTCCTTTTTGGTGCAGCCACACCCCAAACCTATCTCTTCCGACGGCAGTGTTTGACCTCGCAGTCGTCCTCAGACCAAGTCCGAGAAAACGTCTGCAACTGCTGCACACACTGACGCCCCCCCCCCCCCCTCATTGAGCTTCAGACAGACTGGCGCTGCCACCCCTCCGTGAGAGAGGGGCGGAGTCACATGACCGCTGCTGGGGGGAGGGGGTCGGCAGGGAGGGGGCGCCGGCGGCGGCAGAGGGCGGCAGGACGCGTCGCCCGACCGCGGAGGCCAGTCAGCCGCCACAGCCGTAGGAGGTCGGACGTGCCCTGACCAGCTCCCGACAGCACCGCCAGCTCAGCGCCGCGCCGCACCGCGCCAGAAAGCTCACTGCAGCACCGGCTTCCAATCAGGTGAGTCCAGCCGCCGGCACCTGGTGTGCGGGAGGCGTATGTGTGTGTGCGTGTGTGATGAGACGATGAACAGACTGTGTCATTCCATCATCGGCACAATTCGTCGATGGTTCGGAGGAGCGGGAGTGAGACTCCTGCGGACTGATGGGCAGAACAATGCTCTCCACTTGGCGCGACAAGCTCGAAGTGATCAAGTCGCCACATCTCGGTGCAAAGACTTGCACCAAAGTGCACGAATCTCACTCATCTGTGCACAACTGTTCAGACCACATCGGCCTTCAAAGCGGTGGCCTTCCTCAACAGGCTCTCCGTTCTCTCGCGGTAGATTCGTTCAACTATTTCTCTCGGGCTCCCGGTCCACGACGACTCACATGATTGGCTCTTTTGTTTTCACATCCGATGCGGCAGGTGCTGAGCGCAGTAATTGCCACTTACGTGGGACTCTATTAGCGACTATGTGAGACCGAACCTAACGAACATAACCAGGCAGGGAACAAAACGAGCCGCTTTCAGATAAAACCTATATTCTTGTAACTATGAGGTGGCTAAATATTTATTAGAGTGGGTGCTATCGGCAGAGGCGGGCTCAGAGTTTGGGGGGGGGGGGGGGGCAAACCATAACAATTTATCGATTCTTTCCATGCCTTGTCCATAGGCGTACTGTTAAAATTATGCCGTTTGGGGGGGGGGGGCAAATGCCCATTTTGCCCCCCCCCCCCTGGATCCGCCACTGGCTATCGGCACCGTAAAATCACGTGTCATTATTATAAAAGCCACCTATTCACATCCCTAACGTCGCCATATTCACTTCTTTGGGCAGTCAAATATACATATGAAGGCCATTCGTGGAAAGGATCTCTGAAAAGAGCACCGCCTGTTAGCCTATCGTGCCATTCGTCACTGTCCTTCCAACGGTCCGATCACGGTGCAGTTATTTCACACATGTCATTCTTCCTTCCTGACCGTAAATCGCATGCTTCCCTAAGAACTGGCCGGTGCGACCGGTCTGTCCATGCCCATACACGGCGCCGCCCGTAACCAAAGGACGCGACCCTCGGCTGTTGTCACCACGCCACCCCGCCTTCCTGCGGTGTCCACCTTACACACCTCCGTCTGGGGCAGCGTCACTCTAAGACGGCTCAGCACCGTCGCCACGGCGTACCAGTCGCCACCAGCCGGTCGTGACGCGCCGTGCGGCCACCGTCAGAACTCCCGTATTAGCGCCGCCAGGCTGCGAGATCTGCTTGTCCGGCATTCTGTTCTGAGAGGCTTGTGGCGTGCAACAGTGGCAGAAGCTCGGCCCAATCCAGACTAACTCTGGTCTGTCCGCTCGCGACCAGTCAGTCTGTCTCGCCCTTCGGTAGGTCTGCTTGCTTGGTCCTCCAGTTGGGCCAGTTGGTCCTTCGATCGGTCCAGTTGGACCATCCCACATCACTGTTGAAAGCGCCGGTGAATCGGTGAATCATGGGTGAATCCCATGAAGTGGAAGCCACGCCGTCTCGTCAGCCTAACTCTTCCTTTGCTGGTCGATATGTCACACTCGACGGCCCGACAGCGGCAAGCCCAGTCTCTGACGAGTCAGACAGACAGACAGACAGACAGACAGACAGACAGACAGACAGGACGGCCCGTACCATGCGCCGTTGGGGCGCGTCTCAGGAGAATAAGAAAAGCGGTCAGCTGTCCGCTGTGACCTCCGAAGGCTGCGGGACATCTTGATAAAGCCGAGATTTGCATGATATACGATGTTCGAGTACGATTTGGCGAAGGCCGAGACAGCCGATAAGAATGACTGACTAGATAACGAGATTTAGCGGGCAGACCGTTGTTTATGTAAAGTGTTTCCCGTATAAATACAAGTCATTTTCCATTCGGTATTGCTTGCTGTATCCGGCTTTGATGACTATGAGATAATCGGTCTTAGCAAAAGTTCTGAGGGAGGCTTGTCATGAAAATAATGATAGATTGCTGCAATAAGACGTGTGTTTGTAAACTGCAATATGGTTCCAAGATGTCCCCATTTGTATACACTCGTGCCTTCATTAATTGGCTACATGTCACGAAATTGGAGAGCGTGACTAGCGGCTGGTTATTGCACAATCGATGGGTAACCGGTACCGTTACGGTTCCTCGTAGTAAGATAAGCCGGGGGCCCTCGGGGTTTGCTCTCCAATCCCATGCTGTCTGCAGTGGCCGGCGGCAGGGCCTCCTATGCCTCCCACCCCTCGAGGATCCTGCAGACGGGCCCGCTCACTCCGCCCAGACGGCTGGCTGTCAGGTCAGGTCCCTCCGCGGGTCGTCACCTATCGACAGCTGTCACTCGTCTGTCGTGTGCCGGCGACGGTCGTCGTTCCGCCACCGGTCCCGGGCCAGAGATCCGATCATCATCGATGACGCCATCGCTGCGTCACGGACAGCAACACGAGCCGCCGCGATCGCGACTCGGTAGTAGGCGGATACAGCCCGGGGAACATTGCGATTCAGATGGGTAGGCCAGGCCGGACCGAGCTCTCGCTGTATACGTTTGCATTCGTTGAGCCACAGCATGGCGATGGGAGGGTGAGGAATTTCCATTGCAGGGGCGCGTCATGAAGGGCGGGAAATCCTACCCTCTGCAGCTCCTCCGCGGATGTTAAAGTGCGCAAACTGTTTGCTATAAACGGGTGCGACAGTGGTAGGCGTCGGTTGGTCGTTTCTCGATTTCCGGTAGCTCGGGAAAAAACCAATTGTGAAATAGAAGGCGAAGATAAAGTGGTTTTCGAGTATGAATGTAATGTGAGACCTCCTGTCTGCTTTCTAAAATCAGCGTTTAACTTTGGTTCAATTGCAACTCCAAATAGGCCTTGCATAAGTAGCTTTAGTTGTAGACAATAGATACTGAAAGGCTCAAATGCTGTCTTTGTATTTCTCGACATATTGGTAGTTATTTCTAATAAAATAAAAAGCACCATTTAGTTTAAACGGTGATCACTGACCGTACACGACTTCCAAAATGAGGACCATGAAGCTCCCTGGCCAGCTAATCCGATTCGGAAGCTGACGATATGCGTTGATGCGTCGTCATTACACTGCACCTGTCCCGACCTGATAATCCAGCAGCGTTTTAACGGATCCAGGTGCGTTACAACTGTGCAAAAATGACCAAATCCTGTTAGGCGCCTAATCACATTGGTCGATGTCAATCCGGGATCATTACCGTGTCTGCCAATCGGTGGACGGTTTGTTAGATAATGGATTTTTGAAACACCTACGCGATCCGACCGGTCTTACCAAATCTTTGCGATTAGAAGACCGCATAACATGAACGGTTTGGTGTGGGGGAAATTCGTTTCGATGCAAAGTTTTTATTTAATGCCGATGCAGTACCGGTTATTATGCAGCGTGCGAAATGCGGCCCGCACGAATGATTCCTGATGTGGGTTAAGAAATTCTGGACAACACCACACTCGTAAGTCGGCGAAATTCAAATGATATATTTCGTCATTGCGCTTTTAAATAAATGTTAAAAGCCACTCTCTTAATGCATTTATCAGTCAGGGATATTTGCTAACAAGAAACCCGGACTGTTTTGATCATGAAAAGGGTGTGTTATCTCAAGGAAATTCCATGGCTTACGAATATAAAATACTTTTGGCAAGAATTTGCCAGACAACTTCGCTCATCTCACATATGAGATAACCATCTCCAGCTCGCCAGATAAGAACGAAGGCACGTATTGTCTTATGACATGGAACATTTTATGAACGTCTGAAGCCTGAACGGGTTTTCCAATTAGCCCCAAAGTTGTCCCTACTTAGTCGAAGCTCGTGAGGCTTTTCCTTCAGCGCTGAATGGCTGGCTTCGCCCTGTTTTCACCGTTGCCGAGCTGGATGAAAACAATCCGCTGCAGGAGAATAAAATTACCGAACACGTGAGCTACATGCTGGGGTGCCATGGCAGAACACAAATGTCGAATCACGATTTGCAGTGTGCAAACGTGTCGGTGAATAAACGAACAGTGACGCCAAAATGCATCCGAAACGCTACCTTCTTCAGCCGTATCGGTCCGATGCACCGACAGGGAATGGCTCCCTCTCCAAGTTCATCAAACGAGGAGGCGTTTGCCGAATCTCTCGGACGGGTTGGCCTTGACGCGCCTCCGGATTTTGAGTTGCCGCCATTGGGAGCGCGACAGCAGTCAGTCGCAAGTCAGACGTGCAAGTTTCTTCAAGTTCACACGATGTGTGTACCATCTGCCTACCATATCTTCTATTGTGATCGAAGCCATGTCGTTAGCTCCAATCGACCTTGTCGCGTCGCCAAGTGGCGGTATACAGCTCCATGAATTGCCGTTAGTCGCGGATGGCCTTGTGCCGTCAGTGACCCGCGTGATTTTACCGCAGCAGAGCCGAGCGCGGCCTCAAGTCTGACGAATAACAAATGAAGGTAGCCGGGTGCGCCGAAACGACCGGTTTCGTGCTGATGCAATGCGCACGCCGAGAGAATATTCATACGGCTAATGGCCTTCGACATCTGCCAAACGCGGCGAGCTCTTCTGGTCGACGGTCGTAAAAGTGGCCCTATCTCTCGGAGAGGGTGATTGTCAGAGCTATGGAGTCGGTGAGTTGATCGGCGTTATGTGTGTCACTGTCACATCGTCAGGTACTTTCCTGGTCCGAGGTCCGAGCCGCCGTATCACAGTGCTCATTGTGAATTCGACAGACACTAATCGCCGCTTAATGACTCGTAAATTTATCCAGAAACGCATGTCCTTAAGGTTGTAAAGATCTATTATAATTGCGCCTTTTCACTTGTTAGCTCGGTGCAGTTTTATTGATCAGCCAGAATACGACTGCAATATAAATGAACTGTAAACCAAACCGCGAGGAAAATGTGATTCATTAGACATATCCTGATGTTTGTTAAGGGGTATCGAGCCTATACAGTGCAAACTCCGGTTTACTGATGCAATGTCAAACAACGGCGTTCGCCGAACGCTGCGTCCCGCGGCGGATTGTGAG